GACAAAGCACTGCCTTATGCTAGTTTCAATGCAAATTACTTGTTCATGTCAACGGCAGCAGTAAAGTAGTCACTGTTTTTAAAGTAGCACTCAAGCAACACAGGATTGTATTTTCATTAAGTTAGAGCACTAAACTAAGAAAAAAAAAATTATAATTTGTTTGTGCTTCCCATTGTAGGTCAAGCTCCAATAACACTCGATCTCCATAATGCAGCTGAATAGTATTGTTTTAAACCCTTCACTTCTTTATTTCAGTTTACAGCACTTAAATTCATTTCTATCAGAATTCAAGGTAGTCCTGATGACATCGTCAGGCTTTTTACCATGTATGGCAAATAGACAAAGTCACCTGAGGCCCCAAAATATTGTCTGTTGGCCCCAGAGCCAAAAAACAATTAAATATCTCTCTTAAAATAATTGTCTTGAATTTAGCAAATAAGAATATCAAGATTGTAGCCAATCACAGGCAGAGGATGGCTGGGTCTTTCACGGGATGACCACATTTAAATGCCACACACACACCTGCTAAATGTCAGGTGCACCGGTGCGACCAATGAAAATGTTTAGTCACACTTGATAGATTTTTAGTCTCATGTGCGACTGAAATAGTCTCACTCTGGAGCCCTGTGGTTATGTTCTGACCCTGATACACAACACAGGCCAGAACCTCTTCGCCAATAAATCTAATGAGAGCAATTTATTTTTTTATGTTCCCCTAGTTGAATTCTTTGTCACAGAGCATGTTAGGAATTGGTGTGACAGCATTGGTTTAGACCTGCTCCTAAACCTTAGAGCACAATCAATCCAGGTTTCTCCTCTGGGGACAGTTTTTAATCCAGTTGGGGAAATGGCGGCCCGTCTCTGGCACTGGAAATACCAGCTCATATGTCTCAAAGCTATCACTGTATGAGACACTACATCATGACCATGAGTCAGACTCTAACTAAACCTGCATGGCCCGAAGCCACTACATGTGTCACTGCAGCAGGCTGGAAATATCACAGCGTTATACCCTTGCCACTGCTCTACTTTGGCATGACAAAAGGCCAGTGTTCTGGACGTGCACGAAATCACAAAACGTCTGCAGCTAGTCACATCATGGTATTACACTTCCTCACCGCCACATCTCCTCCCCCGACCACATTCCTCCATCCCTGCTTCTGTCAAAAGCTCATGATCAAATGCACTTGCTTAGATTTATATAGTTCCATTGTGCCTCAGCGACACCTCCATTCCACCCCTCCTCGGCTCCCACCTCTCTTCCTCCGCTCTCTATTCCTTCCTCCATTTCTCTGTGACCGTGCATCTCCCTCACTATGGGTCAGGTGAACATTTGTATTTTCTCTTCAAGCCACACTGATGTTAGGACTTTATGGATGTTATAAAATGGCATTTGGAAGGAAAAGTAAAGCCATGTATCAAATATTTTTCCAGTCACCTCTTTGACTGATTTACTCGCTGTCAGAGATTGTGTGATAGATGGTCACATTGAAGAGCCTCGGCATCGCCCCTGTCACTATTGCAACATAAAAAATAGCTCCATATGTCATGCTCACCTAAAAAAGAAAGGAAACAAGAGGCTAAATTTAATTAAGATTTCTCATGTTGAAATTTATTGTCAGAGATCTAATACAAAATGAGTTTTTTTTAATGTTATATATTGAGGAGGATTGTAATGCAGACATTAGCATGGGGAATGAAAACATGTTGATATTATCAACCAGCAAGGTAGTTTGTAGTAACAACTCAATACATATTTTACTGTTCATTTCATTTTGATTTCTCTACACTACAAACAACCTGTGCTTCCCAAAATACCCAGCAGGCTTTGACTTTTTCTGCTGCGGAACATGAAAAAACATCCTGAGAACATTCAAACCTCCCTCCCCCTCTATGTCTCTCTTCCTCCCCATGTCACTGAGAAAATCACATCAGTGGGCCGTCAAAACGTCCATAAAGTTTTTACCATCAAGGGTGGCAAACCCAATGACTGTATATGGAATGGACGTAGATTTTGCTCCTGGAAAGTGAATCCAATGCCTGAAACCTGAATTCTCCCACATGAGCAGCTGATGAAGCCATCTCTTCAGAAGTCTGAGAAAATGACTCCAGGTTATGTTCTCAATTGCTTTAGTTTGAGAACTTTAGTACAACATGATGTTCATTTGATACACCTAGATCCCATTTAGATACAATCCACTATAAACCGTGGCATGCATTGGGGCCTGTATACTGTGTGATCGACGGCTACTACTATCCAATGGGTGCAGGTTTGCAGTGTTGTCGAGCTCTGTCAGACTTACCCCAAAACATTAGTTTGAATGATTTGTCCCTGATTCTAGCTTGTTGCAGTTTTTAATGACCGCTTCAATTATGTTAGCAACTTGTAGCTGCAAACTGAAATTGAGATTAGCGCCATCAATTGTGGAATGTTGATTCAATTTGTCCGACATGAAATTTAATCAAGCCTACTTAATTTTACTCCTTACTTTCCAGAAGCTAGTTTACAGTTATTTAACGGCATTGATTGCATCAATGAGTGCATCAGAACCAGTGGGGTCATCTCTTGTAGACAGTGTTAGAGCTTGAGGCCCACTTCAGTCTGTACCTGCTGGGTGTTTGTTGTGTTGAAGGGAAATCACGTGTCCAGATTGGCAGTTTTTGTGTGTGTGTGTGGGGGGGGGCAGCTGTCATGTCAAATTAATGTTTTCATAATCAAAGTTCAATCCACTCATGAATGTGACCTTTGAAACTAGTTCAAGTTGTTTGACATAACCAAATTAAGTCTGGGAAGTCAGTCATGACCTTAGCATTCACACCAAGCTACATATGTGGTGAAGCTAAGTGTGAACAGGGTTTATTACTGTCAGTCTCTCTCTCTGCCTCCCTTGCTTTCTCGCTCGCTCTCTCTCACACTGATGACGCACACAAACACACACACATGATGTCATATTTGCACCTTCTAAAGAGTAAAAGAAAACTTCAGACATGAGAGAGAGATGTACATTGCATGACACTTGCCGACACTTCCCCAATGCAGCTGAAACAATAAAGTCTGACTGTCTCCTTGGATGGCAACAGCTTTATGGATGGTAGCCCAAGTGCATGAGCAAGTATGCTGCAAATAGCACTGCATATAGCTATACAATGTAGTAATGGAACAAAACATCAAGTAAGAGACCTTATGTCATTGTGAGAAATGCTAAAGAATGTTTAATTCATTATAAACATATGGGCAGACAAATTTTATTTTGGCGGGGCACCACAGCCTAGATAATTAATGGGAAACACTGCCTAACCCTAAAAACAAGTCTTAACCCTCAAACAGCTTTCTGAAAAAGTGAGGAGGAGGGGGCCAAAACGTCCTCAATCCATAACGTTTCTGCTCAAATTGGTCCTTACAAAGATATAAATACAAGTGAGCGCACACACATGCACACACACACTATCAAAAGCCTACTGAACAGCTGCTAATAAATTGTGGTCAGACGCATTAATCAACCTTTGATTCTCAGTAGCTCACCATAGCAGCTTTAGTGAAAGCAGATGCAAATTGCCTCCATTATACAATGATGACGAGAGCTTGCTTTCTGCTCCTAGACACAGATTTCAGCCCAGTAATTATCAGTGCAATTCACACATGAACAGAACAAAACAGTGTTTTGTACCCAAATCCTGAAACCAAAGAAGGAATTTGAAACGTTATGTGTGAGCTGGAATTATTTTTTATTGTCTTTGAGTGAATTCTGAACAAGCATCAAAGGGCTGCTGTGATTGAGGGCGAAACGACAACACAATCTGTGACTTAAAGAGCAATAGCATTTAAGTGATTCTGCTTTAGCTGAGAGATCTCATGCTTTTGGTTGCAATGTCTTTCATTCACATGCAGGCTTTTGAACAGGATACCCAAAAGAAATGAAATACTGTCACTGAAAACCACAAAATTGAAAAAAACATTTAAGTGACTCTGTCCCAAATGCAAGCTCTCCAAACCTGGCCACATAGAATTTAAACGCTTTTCACTGTTTTTGTTTCTCTCCTCTGCAGTTTAAAAAAGAATGTGTGACACCAATCATTGATTCAGGACTAATGTGTGAAGAAGGAGGAAGCTGTTTGAATGTTGATCAAACACGACTGTACTGTCTGACTTGTGAGGCTGAAAAGAAATCTATTTCCACCAGCCTCAGTTGGTGCCAAGAAAGGGGCTCTTCTCATTACTTCTCCCTGTGATGGGTGTGAGTTTCCTCTATAGCAGAGAGCTGCCATCTTAAGCTGTCATAGCCCAAAAGATATGGGACAAAACTTACCCTTTAATCAGGAACCATCACATCCCCTTTAATCAATTCAAGTGTGCGCGCCATGCCACTCTCTTTGCTGTCTATACACCATGTTCACATGAGGATTACCTCTTCTCCTTTCTCATTGAAAATAACATCCTGGAGTCTGAAGTTGGGTATTTTTTTTTTTTTTGATAAACCAAATTCATAGCAGGTTTTGAGAAGTTCATTTAAATTTGGATGAAGCGTACAATGCCACTGCTGGACACATAATGAAAAACATCATGATGCGACCCCTGCGAGCTTCTGATGCCAGTCACACAGAAAAAAATACGAAAGCAAAAGTTTTTTCCACCATTGAAAACTGATAAAATTTGAAAGAAGGAGCAACAGGAAAAAAAGAAAGATTACTCGCTATGAATAGACTCTGAAGTACATGTTGTCCCTTTGAAATGTCATGGAAAATAATTTTCACCATGGTAACACCTCAGAGTGCATAAGGAGTTGTTTATCTGGGTGTATGCATATTTGTGTGTCTAGAGTGGAGGGTTTTCTACTCATGAAATTGTTGTGAAAGCTATTGTTAATTAGTGGTTTAAAAATAGTCATTTTCCATTTGTCACCATAACCTTATGTTGGAGTCTATACTTTACGAACACAGTTGAGGTTTTTCTTCTGTACCTTCTTTTATTAATATAATAATATAAAATTTCCTCTCTGCAGAATCTACATGGTTCCAGTTACTCTTCAGTGATGTTCTCCATGACCACCATCTAAAACTGCTGTCCATGGCCATGTGGGTAGTCCAGAGGTGTTCAGACCCTGCAGCTGCTACAGATGATTAGATCTCGCCCACTACTGACCTCTTTCCAAAGATCAGGTTGACGCTCCATACCAACGGTAAGACCCTAATCTGCACTCCCACCTTCAAAAAGACCCTCTCCACTCCTACAAGCATTTAAATGATAATTAATATATAAGCCGCCAATTGTAATGGTAACCCACAAAGAGGCGAACCTGCTCCGTGCCTATTTTCCTCCAAAGACGAAAAACCGTCCACCCTAAGGCTGAGAGACAGGCTACTTTCAGGCCCCATGAATAACAACTAGCCATGGAAAACGCTGTGGCCCCACTCAAGTAGGTGTCAGGAAGTCAAGTGGGTTTTGTGTTATCTCTTCGTACTTTCAGCTGCCTATTAGCATAGCTATTCAGTTGGCACGGCCCATGGCCCACAATGGGAATAGAAAGAGGAAGCCAATCTCTCCCTCTCTCTCTCTCTTACTTTCCTCTTTATGTCTTTCACTCTTGAGTTTTTCTCTCTTCTCGCTCCCTCACTCCCAACTAATCCGCTAAGTCCCATGGGGGGCTAGAAGTCGTTGAATTCTGAAGTGGCTTTTTGTCTTTTAGTTTTGTGTTGGGAAGTGGGAAGTCCACCTGCTCCTAAGAATTTCAAAAAGGTTGTGTGATTGGACTTAATGTGTGTGTGTGTGTGTGTGTGTGTGTGTGTGTGTGTGTGTGTGTGTGCATGTGCGTGTGTGAGAGCTATGCTGGCAAAGTTGAGCTTGTGAAATATTCAGTGAATTAGTTCTTATGACCATGAAAGACATGTTGGTTCTGTGTATTCCAGGTTTATACTGGCCCTGAACTTCTAGTAATTTCTATTTTGCATGCAATAATAATAATTTTCCATTCATGATAGTCAAACATGAGAGAGATGAAATGAATTACTTTTTATTGAATGATGAATGAAGTGTCAAGTGTAATGGTAGAGGGATGAATGCTTTGAACTAAAATGAAACATCTACGTAAGTATTTAATTTAATTTAGGTCAAGGCAATAAATACATAGTGGGTTCCGTCACCATCTTATTTCTTACATCAACAGAGCCCAAGTGACAGGTACACAGAGTGTGCAGGTGCTACAGCTTGATCTATGAAAAGCTCTGCCTGCCTGCTTGGATGGCAAAAACGTATTGGATGTTTTAGCGGCGCATTGACACAGCAGGATATTTTCTGGTGCTGCCGATGGCCAGTGAGATAGATAAATGCAACGTGAAAAGGGGAGCAAGCTAACAAGAAGTAGGCAAAATGCACAGCACATAGTTCTACAACGAGGCAATGGCACTCAACATTGATTTAGTGATTTTATATGTTTTTATGAGATATGTAAAAAAAAAAAGCCATTATTGTAAGTCACTTTGGATTAAAGTGTCAGCTAAATGATATGTAATGTAATGTAAAAAGATTTTGACAAAAACCAAGGCTGTACAGATTTGACTGGCAGACCAGCATAGTGAAGGTAATTGATAGGAAAAACATATTTAAATTACTATTGTGGTCCACGCTCAAATCAAAATTGAACTAAATTGCATGCTTGAGCAAAAACATAAAAATAATGTAACATAATGAAATACTATTTTTCCAACTTGATCATTTCAACTTGATTTCATTAAAAGGCAATTTTAAGAAATTGTATACTATATATCTATGACTTTTTGCAAGTCTTTGAAGGGTAAGTGTATATGTGAAGAAAGTAGTATAAAGCCTTGCAGGGCTTCAGAGGAAGCTGTGTGAATTCTGATTTGCCTCAATTGATGTCATTAGAGCCAGGTTGGCTTGGGTCTGAGGACCATATGATTGTGTGTGGAGTTAGAACGAGGTGAGTCTTCAACAGACCAAGTACTCATGTACAGAGAAGTCATGTACAGAGAAGTCATGTACAGAGAAGTCATGTACAGAGTAGTCATGTACAGAGAACTCATGTACAGAGAAGTATTTTACAGAGTAGTCATGTTGCGCAGGAGAGCGTGCAGTTCTCAGTGTGAGTGAGAGGCACACAGAGAGTTCAGGTGTCAGCCTGTTGAGATCTACATGCCTCTCACAGAAACACATACAGCTAGCTGAAACCAGGTGTTTCTTATTGATCACCCACTCTCCCAGAACATTGTCAAAGAAACTCTGATGTTGTGAGCTGATTGATCTTCTGGAAAGATCAGCATTTCCAGGCTGTTTAATTCCAGTCACCAGGTTGGAGTCAGGTAATGGATAGTGAAGGCTAAGTAGAGTTAACCAACTATGCTTTGGGTGGAATGTAAAATAAAAGGGCTTCTGTGAGGACTTTGTGTTAAATGCTGTGTCGCTGTAGATGAGGACATTGGACCAGTAGCCATGTTGGGTTGGCCATCAGGAATGCACAATCTGTAAATAAGGGGATTTCAAATGTATTATTATTGTTGTTATGTCACACAAACACAAAAAATGCATGCACACAAATGAGCAGAAATACATGTTCAATGTACCTCCACCCACCCAAGTGGAGATGCACTGTCTGCCTGTGTTGCCTTTGAGTATCTGTAATGTCCCCATGCAGATTTTACATAAATACAAGATAATCTTAAGGAGACATTGACAGTAATTGCAATGGATGCAACAATTTACATAAATCTTGTATGATTCTTTATTGCTTTTGTAAAAAGAACCAAATCAGTTGGCTGCGTAACTAAACAATGTAATGTCTTATCATGTGTATTGAGCGAATAGTCTGCAGATATTTGACACATACAACAACATGTAGTCATTGTCACATTCAGAGGTTTCTGCATCATGCATTAAGGTTAAAGTTAACTCTTGACTTCTAACTTATTTCTCTCAGAAGGATTAGAAATATCTATCAATGGCTTCCACCATGTTTCTTTAAAACAAAACAAATTGCCATTGCATGCTGCACCTGTGTGTAAAACACACAAGAAAACCCTCAGGAACTTAATGTGATCTACTTCATGGTATTATCGATAAATCTTCTACAACAGTATTAACTCCCCAGTGCATATCATGCTTTATTTATCATTTTGACTCCAAATGGGACCAACATGAACTTCGTGATGTATTAGAAAGACTTGAAAGTAGCGATTGAGACCATAAACTTTGTATGAAAATGTTTACAGATGTTATACATCAATTGAGAAACAGGATCATAGACTTGTATAACCTCACTTCTTTTGCAACTACTGGAGTCGCCCTCTGCTGGTCATTCACAAAGATACAGGTTCCAGGCATTGGCTTCACTTTCCATACCCACAGTGTATGTTCATTTTATACACTCTATAGATTTACTGTTAAACTGGTAACCTTTTAATCCTTGCTATGCCTGTGCCTGTGCATCACTGCCAATGATATGCAACAGCATGTGCAGGCAAGCGATCAATCTACACACATTCAGCCATTTTATTTTTGGGCATATCGATGGAGCCTGTTACCCCAGTAAATGTACATCTCATCATTAGCTCGACCACTGCCCCCCCCGCTTTTGCCATTTGACTGACCTGCTGAGCAGCTCTCTGCCATCTTCCCGTACAATGTGTTTCACTGTTGCAATATCATATTGATCCTCTCCCCTCACTCCCCTCTCTGTCTGTGATGGCTTCTCAATAAGTGCATAGATCTATGATTGATTTTACCATTGGACGTCTCCTTACAGTCATTATGAGAGAATTTGCAGAGGCCATAATAGGATCTGATGGCTGTGAGTGTTCACAAATCACTTTCTCATTGAACCAGCGCTGGATTCAGCAGACTTCAGTAAAGATCTTGCACCAGAAAGTACCACTCTAAATACATTCTGTTATCTTGTGCACCACCATAATGCTTAATTTTTGTATCTGTAACTTTTTTATGAGAACATGCTGTACACACTGTCTTGTATACTGAGCAGTTGCTCCAGCTGCACCCGCCCCCCTTGCCTCTTTGTCTCTTCTTGCAGCCTCTTATTCTTTCTTTTAAATCCTCTATTCTGCACCATTCCTTCTCCCTCCCTCCGTCCCTCGCTAGCCGATGCCATGACCTTTTTAGCGGCTGCTTAAAAAGATTAGCTGTTATTAAGAGCTATGCCCGCTGATGACTCTTTCATGAGGTAGGGCCCTGGTCCCGAGGGGAAGGAAGATTGGAGAGAAAAGAGGGGAGGGACTGGATGCACTGAGGAGGGGATGGAACAGGAAGGGTATATGTGCAAACAGGTAGACATGCAGGTCAGGGAGGAACATGTTGATTCTGGGGAAAGGAGCAGGAGGAATAATGGAGAAATGGACAATGGGTAAGGACTCTAATGGAGTTATTGGGACATATATGGGACACAAAACTAGAGATAAGTGACAGACAGGGTAAACTGAGAAATAGAGGTCAAACAAAAAAGATAAGTAGATGAGAGGGGTCATGTGTCAGTGTAACTGATAGTGGATATATGCTGCCAACAGTAAAATAGAGAGGTAGGATGGTAAATGAAAGGACAAATAAGAAAACTGATAAAGATTGTCAAATGACAGGGAACTGAAAATGTTACTGGAAAAATAAATTATATATAGGGTTTATTTTCAGAAGCACCTGCGCTCCTCACACATACAGACGAAAAAGTGTAAATACTCTTCATGGGGGGAATTTTGCTGGATTTGTGGAATGTATGACTACATCGTAATCTTGTGTTTAATTAGAGTAAGGCAGCAAAAGCACTTAGGAAAAGTCATTGGTTTGCTTAAATTTAAATTCATTCAACTGTGTTGTGTTGTACTGGAAATCATCATTGACCATAACCCCAACCTTAACAAAGTGCTGTGGATGCTCTCTCTCTATATACATATGTGTGTGTGTGTGTATAGAGCATTATTATGAAAAAGAAACCTTTAAATGTAAGATTTTTGAAATTAACTCCACTTTTCTGTCATTTCACTCTTTGAGACTTCTCATGATAAGTCAATTGTTATGAGCATGGGCCAAATGAACAAACACATTTGTTATTTCCAACACTAGACGCCCACATACATAATCACACAGACCCTTTTCTCCCTATAAATTGTGATACAGGAACACTTCCATTCAATTCACAGGCTTTATCGATCCTAAAAAGTAATTAGTAGGAGTTATTATAAACAGAGAATGATCTGTGTTAGTTGTTGGATGCTGCTCAGTGTTATCCAGTGACTCATGCATACATTCTGCATTTAAAACTCATTTTTTATTCCAATCCCCGACAACTGATTGTAATAACCATAAAAATGGCTCCTCATGGTTCCTCAATTTGCTTTTTCCTTGTCCTCTTTTTTCCCCCTCTCCTGACCCAGCACCATTCATTATTGTGATGCAACAAACATGGAAAAAGAGGAACTCAAGGTCACATTTCATCAATTGCTGTTGTGTGCCAAAGCATATTTCTTCCTTAAAACACCTTGACATTTCTGTTATAGAGCATTTTTACCCTCTCCTGGTGAAATATGTTAGTCAATCCATCTGTGTGTGAGTGTGTACGTGTGCATGTGTTTGCGTGCACAGGAGATATAGTGTGTGTATGTGCTTCTGTGCACCTGCCTGATACCTTGTCTCTGTGTGTGTGTGTGCGTATGTGATGTACAATCTAGTAAAGTGAAGCAGCATGTGGATTGGGCTATCGATGGATCAATAAATTGATATACAGTGTTGGTTATGAGCTCTGGCAGGAGGTGTGTGTCATTGTTTTATGGACTACATTTATTGTATTTTTTGTCTCAATCCAATATATCTTTTCCCACTGGATGCAATTAACATTTACTGACATTCTAATGAACACTTTCCTATAATCCTCTGTGATTTCATAATCAGTGAGGCTTGCCGCAAACAATAATAAGATTTCCCAACTGCTAAGAGTCCCTCAACTGACTGACGCCTTCAAATGTCAGGTATATGATTTGACAGTTTACCAGTAAACACTAATTATCTCCAAAGATTAAAACAAAAAAGTCACTTTTCTCTGCATTTTCTCCCGTCGCAAACATCATCATGTCACATCCTGGGGTGGGTACACGTCAAAACTGTGATACCTGCCAACCAAACCAAAAAACAGAAGGTTGAACAGCATAGCAAGCATGGGTAATAATAAAAAGAAACCTTTTAGAGTCATCCAACTTGTAAAACTGGTGTTTTTAATTATCTTAGTGCACAGGGCCTGGACACAAATTAGAATCAGTATGTAACCATGGGCGACAGCAAATCAGAAAGATGAACTGGTCATTGATGTGACAGGCCTTGTGCCAGAGGGGGCAGTGCAGCCAGATTTACCCCCGCACTCTGACAACTGTAAAAGGTATCATACATATTGTTATAATGAGGACCAGACTGGCAGCCCTCTGTGCCCTTCACTCTGTGCTGGGAGAGGAGGTCGCACCAAATGTACACAAGGGGACAGAGGGCAAATAGATAGGTACGGAGGGGGTGAATACGGACTGAGTGTGAAGTAGGATCATAGACGACCTGGAAAGTGCAAGAAACAAGAAAAGTGAGAGTGGACTCATCGTATATTCACTTTTGAAGAACTTTACATAAGAGCTGTGACACTACCAGTGTACCAGGGAGATCAAAGTAATGATAAATATTGCTACTTGAATTTTTGTAGGAAAATGTATTAATAATTCAAAGAAAACCCACAACAGCATTCAAACACAAATTTGGATGTAGGCTAGCTTAGCAAAGGTCAAAGCATTTGGGTCAGGACTACTGAATGGCTAGTTTGGATTGCTTTCTGGTCCTGTTCAGATCTAGGGCTTCATCTATAACTGTCACATACGCATCTTTCAGACCTTGTGCGTACGCCACTTCTCACACAGGAGTTGGGATCTATAAGAACAAACTTGGTGGGAGAATGTGTGAACTTGTACGCTTACTCTGACCAAATCGTACTAACATTTTGGAGACAGGAAAGGAGCGATACAGACATGAGGCAGTGAATTGAAACAGATCCATAACAACTTTCAATTGTAAAAGAAAAAAGCTTTTCTTTTTTTTGTTATCTTCTTCGTGTGAGTGTAAAGTCACTGCAGTGAACATGACTGATGAACAGAGCCCATTGGAGACCACTTAGAAGAAATAAACTGTGTTCACCTTCACACATCCATTTCCAAACAATATCCCAGAGTGGAGGTTAGGAAACCACTGATTGTCTTCATCTTAGGTGTGAACTCGTCGGTCTGACCGTTTTTTTTGGGTACGCCATTTATAGCTTTTGTGCGCTTCAAACTTTTAGTATGCCCCTTGTGTTTACATCCGTTCTGAGCAATTAAATCATAAGCTGTACGTTTCTGTGTTCACACCTGGTATTACAATGTGTCCTTGATATGTCTCCTGTGACCAATTGTGATTGGATCTCACTTTATGGCTCTATATGCAAATACGTGGTTTACAGATCTGTCAATGGGCTGAATGAATCAATAGGCTCCACAAAGCTCTTCTAAGGAGTACGATTTTTTTTTACCCATTAAAAGAAAATTGATCATGTTGTGGTCAGTGTTGATATTGTAGCAGTGGCCACAAACGATAGTAACACTGAGAAGAGTAAAGAGTACTTTGAGTTTATTGTAATATTTTAGCAGGTCGGAAACGTCAACAGAGTAGGCGGGCCCTCATATGTGGTGCAGGACGTGTGAGCGTTCCAGTTGCTGAAATAATCTCGCCGTATGCATTCAGACCTCCTCCAAATATGTTTTCAGACCTGATATTAGCGCTGTCCACGTGTGATCAGGTCATTCAGGATGGATGTTCATCAAGTCTGAGTGGGTCTTTGCATTGTAACCTGTTAATGAATTAATTATAGAGTTGCTGCTAATCTCATATTGTTACCGTTGCACAGAGCCAGGCCAATTATGACGCTACAGTAGTTTGCTGCTAGCTCTATTGTTATTGTGTGTCACAGACATGAATGGTCTCAGTCTTTCTTTCAAATCATTTGTGACACCTGAATCCTCTCATCAATAGAAAGCAAATACACTTAATATTAGGATACGGTGAAGTTGGACTCACAACCTGCCAACAAGTTCTGCTGTTGTTAAGTTGTAATGTAAACCAGTTATGAATATCAATAAGCAGTTTAGCATGTATTTGTGTCTCCGCAGCCCAAATTGGCTCAAGAGCAGAATCAGCAGGAACACAACACTATTAGTCTAACATCAACAAATGAGCCTCCCAGCTAAGACCCTGTAAAACTAATGAATGCATTTAAAAGTGCATATCCAGAGCAGACTGCTCAGCTAGCAGTCAGTGCACACGTTTTAGTCAAGGTAGAATTCACCACTGACACACTTTAGCACAATATGTACAGCCAAACAGCCTACAGACAGTTTTCAATATCATTAATGTTGTCCTTAATTTCCCTCCGGGGATGAATAAAGTACTCTATCTATCTATCTATCTAATGTCAATTGCTGGCAATCTCAGGAGTGTGATAATGAGCCATGAACAAAAAGCCTGTCTCACTGAAGTAATGTCAGAGGAGAACCTTGCAGGCAGTGAAGAAATACTGTAAATACACCACCACTTTAAATTAGGAAGAACAAACAATGGCATTTTTTTGTGGCTTATGTCCAATTTGTCAGGGAACCTGTTGATAAAATAAATCCTGTTGTTTTGTTGCGCTTTTGTCTTGATTTCCTGCTAATCATTTTTGTTTTCATGTTGGAGAGATGGATCAGATCGCTTTGACATTAACAGCCGGGATAAAAGTGTATCAGTATAAAAGCTTTTTGTATCGACTCCAACCCTTTTCATTTCTAGAGGGTTCAAAATCCCCATGGTTTGTCATCAAGCACCAGGGGACCGTGTGTGTGTGTGTGTGTGTGTGTGTGTGTGTGTGTGTGTGTGT